GAATTGATTCTCTTTGGCCAAAAGTGACGTGGAATATAGGCATGTCCTTAGTCACCCTCAGCATTTTCAAGATTGTCGTGATGTTCTTAACTCATGGTGTCTCTTTCCATGAAAAGCCGCTGTAATTGGACTGGAACTAATTGTCACTGAAATTGAAAGGAAAAAAAAAGGTTAATATTACGAAAAATATCAAATCTCGTAATAAATTTAAGCTAAAATAATTTTTCATAAAAAAAAAACTTCAAATTGACACTCCTGTGACAAATTTACCGTCAATTAATTTTTTGACCACCAAAAATCCCAAACTAGTACATTTATTACAAATTTATCTTCCGTTAAATTGGATTAATATCACAAAAAATCACAAACTGATGATAATAAAATTTAACGGAAATTAATAAAGGATAAAATTGTCAAAGGTGTATCAGTTTGGGGTTTTTTATGGTCAAAAAATTAGTTTGGAATAAATTTGTCACTAATTTGGGGATTTTCGGGGTGTTACCAAAAATAAAGGGACCTTCTTCCACATTATTAGGCCTTTTTTATTTTTTATTTTTCCATTTAGGCCCCAGTTGTGAAAATTATAAAGGCTAGGGTTTGTCTTCATTATCTCCGTCCATCTACAGCTGTTTGGGGGTAAGAAAACCAATGAATTTCCTGTTGATTTTTCAGCTATCATGAATCGATTTTTTTTTCTTTCCATTTCAACACCCAAAGTCATTAATCATCCGTCAATTAACACTAAAAATTAAGTGCTTTATCAAACTACCCCTTAGACTTGCTAGACTTCTCTTGTCAAAGTAGTGACCAATACTTAGCCTCATCTTGATTCACCAAATTGCAGGATATAAATATATACTCTTTAAGTCCATATATCATAATGTAGTCCTTGCGGTCAATTTTGACCGATGATTGTTGACGTGGACACCGATCGTCCTACGTGGTATGGTCGGCGCTGATGTTAGGAATTTTTTTGAATTTTTTTATAATTTTTTTCTTTTTTTTCTTTGTTCCTCCATCGGTCACTGGGCCTCAGAGAGGGCCAGAGACCGGTTGCCCAAGGCCAGTGAGCTCCCTGCAAGGTCGAGCCTCGCTAGAGGCCAGCAATAGTCGGCCTCGCCTATCGCCAGTTGCTGGCCATGGAAGAAAGAAAAAAAGAAAAGGGAAAAAAGAAAAAGATTCAAAAATTTTATTAAAATTTTATAAATTTTTTCAAAAATTCAAAAAATCGCTCATGTCATCGCCAGCCTTGCTACGTAGGATGGCTAGCGACCACGTTAGCGATTGCCGGCCAAAATTGGCCGGAAGAACTATACTGGTAAATTATCAAAGATTTAGGACTAAATTGGCCAAATTAAAAAATTTAGGATTGAATTGGCATCTGTACAATATGATTATGACATTTTAGATAATTTTCTTTATGTTCAAGATTCTCGCAATGTTTTTCTCACGTTGTCTCTTAGTATGAAAAGGCCGGTTTAATGGGACAAAAGTTGCTATTTATAGGAAGGAAAAATCCGGTGTGTAACGGGACCGGAACTAACTGTCCTCGAAAGAAAAAAAAAAGTATGATTTGGGGTTTTATACAAATTTTAATGATCAGGATCAAATTCAAAATTGAGGACCTTCTTCGCGATCATCAGGCCTTTTTCTTTCCATTTAGGCCCCAATTGTGAAAATTATAATGTGGTTTGGCTTTGGACCTACTAAAAGGCTCCATTCAAACCCTCGAGATCCAAGAAAATACAAACATATGAGGGGAATAGGGGGGCTTGAGGTGGTCCGGTCGCCGAGCCCTAAAACAAGGCGAGTAAGAGAGAGCCCGAAAGGGTTTTACTCTCCAGCCCTCAAGGGAATGATCTCTAGAGTTAACTGTAACCAAAGGCTCCAGAGTGAGCATCCCCTGGTTACCGTTACCAGGGGATGCATTGTCTACGTCCATCAAGAGCTGCTTGGGGCAAGAAAACTAATGATATTTCCTATTAAATTTTCAGCTATCATCAATCAAAATTTTCTTTCCATTTCAACATCCAAAGTCGTTAACAAACAGTTAATTAACACTAAAATTTCAGTACTTTATTAGACTAACTCTTGGTCTTGCTAGACTTCTCTTGTCATAGTAGTGGCAAATACTTAGCCTCATCTTGATTCATCAAATTGTTGGCTTCGTAGTCTATAAATGTATGGAAAAGGAGGGATCATATTCTTCTCCAAAAACTCCATCCACCAGATTTATGGTCATTGAGTTCCAAAAATGCATAAAACCCACATGCAAAACTTAAATTTGGAAAGACACAAAACAAGAATTATTAAACCAAAACATCCTACCCGCACATAGACTCGTCAAACGGGTGGGTTGAGTTGAAAATTGTCCAACCCAAATTGACCCGTTTAACTCGTTTTGACCCATTACCATGCAATATAAATCTAGTGACTCATACTTGACTCAACTCATACCCGACCCAACCTACATTACTAAAATACTTCTATATTTAACTTAATCTAGGAAAAATCATATACAAACTGAAGTGAAAGCACGGAGGGGGTGAACACGAGATCGGGTGAGGGCGAGAGAGAGAGAGAGAAGAGAGAGTTATAGAGATAGGTTGAGTCTAAGTAAATTATGAACTCATTTAACACTCAAATTATTTTAGTTTTATCATTCTAAATCAATTTATGATATTTACTGAATATAATTAACCAAATCCATCAACTATGAGTTAATAAATGAGTTTATGAACCATTATGACATGTCTATCCCTGCATCAAGCTCATCATCGTCTCTCTTCTCTCTTTTCCTTGCGCCTGTCATTGCGTTGTGCCGACAATCCCATTATCCATCACCATTACCGACACTCAATCTCATCACATGAACTGCCACTGAATTACCACCTCGCCATCTCTCTCGTATACACATATAGAGTGAGAGAGTTGCAGTCTACGACGGGATGGATGAGACGATCCACTAGGAAGCACTAATGATGGTGAGGATATGGCAAGGTCAGTGGTGATCGAGAAAGAGGACGAATTTTTGTCTGTTATAGGCTTTGTACAAGCAAGCTGATCAATCTAGGAGAAGGAAAGAACAGGCAAGAAAAAAAGGGCAGGTCACCGTAGCGGGCCGCCTTTGGCCACACTCTAATAGCACGACGGCTACTTTTCAGTCCTTTGGGCCCAAAAAAGCTGTACATATGTGGACCAAAAAGTTTCAATATTGAAGACGGGCATGAAATGAGCCCGACTAATCACTTCTCCTCTGAAAAAAATTCTCAATACCCAGCTTTGGGACTTCAACTCTTACATAAACTTCTTAGTTCGGCAATTCAAAAGAAGAAGAAGATTTTCTACTAATAAATTGATATTCAAAATCATTCCATTTGGGATCACTTTCTCTATCAAAGCACGGGGTTTCTAACTTCTCATAAGGCCCCCTAGAATTCCTCCCAGCACGGTGCATGAGCCAAGCTCGGCCCATCCAAACACGGGCCTCGTGACATGCCCAGTCGTTGTCATCTCTAGGAAAGAACAGTAATGGGAGGAAAGCATAGTCAAAAGCAAGTCAATCAATGGTATCATAGCCATTGATTATGTTGGGAGTTACGCAAGTCCTGAAAGATTCAACGATTGCAACCGCAACTATGTTCATAGAACTGGACATTGTTTTCTTGCGTATGCTACACTGCCGGCCGAGTTGTTTCTTCACTTTCATTCCGAGATTCATTTGCATCTGAATTTGCACAATGAGAGAGAGAGAGAGGACCAAAGGCTCCCACTCAAGCGAACCATTCAACCGAAAAACGAAAGGCTTCACAACATTTAGCCATCATCATCATCACCACCATCATCTTTTCGCACCTTCCACTCTTAGATGGGACCAAGAAGAGAATGGGACTTTGGTGGTGATCATCAATGTACAGACGGACATACAGATATGGACCACTTAGGTTGCGAATGATAACTATTCCGTTTCTATTTTTCTGTTCCAGAAATAGATTTGGAACAGAAATCCATTTGGTAACGCAATTTCATTTTTCTATTTCCGGAACAAATTTTGATTTCAGAAATAGGTTTAGAACAGAAAATGAGAAGTTAAAATTTTCTACTTTTTTATTTCTGGAACAGAAATGAGAAGTTAAAATTCTTCTCATCGCTCGCCCTCGCTACTAGCCGGTCGCCCACCCACCGCTCATCGCCGCCCACTTGCCGGCCGTCGCCTCCCGCCATTCGTCGTCTCTCGCCACCCGCCGTTCACCGGCCACCATCTCCTACTGCCGGCCGCCCTCCTCCCGCCACCGGCCGCCTCCCCCTGTTGGCCACTGTAGACCGCCGTCCACCGGCCATCGTCTCTCGCCGCCGTCCGCCCCCCTCCCGCTGCTGCTCTCCTCCCGTCGTCGGCCGCCTCTAGCCGCTGTCCTCCGCAATGGCCGCGCCGTCCACCGTCGCCTCCCCCCGCCATCTGTCGCCCGTCGTTCGTTGCCACCGTCTGCCGTCCACCATCAACTGCCGCCATTTGCTTGCTGTCCACTCGCCGACCACTCGAGAAGGAGAAATTTTGTACCGTTATCAGATAAATTTTTGTTTCGCAAACATAAATTTTATGTCGTTATCAAACGTATTTTTTTGCTCATAAACTTGTCCAGAAACATAATGGTTATTATTCGCAGTCATATATATCTACAATTATGTCGTTGCTTGACTTTTCTTTTCTCATCAACCGCGTGCATCTGCTCTTTCTTTTGTTCTCTCTCTTTTTTATCTTTGGAATTCTCTAGCTAGAAAAGCTAAAGCTACCCTTCCACGATTTTTCCCAGAAAAAGGCAAACGATTGCCGAATGAGTTTGGTCAGTTGTCAGGCATTAACCCATTTGCTCGATGATGACCAATGAAACATGATTTGAATGAGACCTGGGCATTTCCTGGACGGAGTGATGGGAGATGTCCCTGAGTTCACACACTGTAGCAGGCATGAATTTTAAGAAGAGAGAGAGAATCTATCATAGTATAAGCAGATCGTGCACGGAGTCATCATTTTCCACATTCCCTTCATGAGTACATTAAAGCAATAGGATCCAACTTGTCCTTCAAGGACCGCCAACAAAACTTGTCCTTCAAGAAAAAGGGTGGAATAGGAAGCATGTTCATCTTCGTCATCCGCATTTTCCTACGCGTAGTTTCTTGCACAGTAGAACAGCTAAAAGGAAAAGGTAAAAGCAACCTCAAAATTATAACCTGGAAAATTGACCTCAGCTGAGAAAAAAAAAAAAAACAAGCAGCCTCAGACCACTGTTGGTAGCGGCGGCGGCGGCGGAGCCGGATTGTTCAGACTCTTCACCGGGACCGACGCACGGCAAACTGGGCAGTTAGACTGAGACTCCAGCCACGTGTCGATGCACGCGGTGTGGAAAGCGTGCCTGCACACGCTCAGCCGCTTGATCTCCTCTCCTTCGGACAACGTTGACAGGCACACCGGGCACTCGCCGCCCACGGCATCTGCCGTGCAGTCGTCGCTCTCCTTCTCGTGGTTAGCTTCCGGAGGAGCCACGCCACCGCTGCCTCTGCCACCGTCGACGGGGGAGATTTCAACGGAGTAGCTGCGGGAGCTCCGGCGGCCACGGCGGAGAGACAGGGAGGGGCATTTGACCCCGCATACGATGGTGTAGATGAGGACGGGGACAGTGATGATGGCAATGAAACCGAGGACGAGCCCGAGAGGAGAGATATCGTCGGAGCCAGAGTCCGGGGGGAAGGGAGGGAGCGGCGGAGCAATGAAGAGAAAGGTTGGTGCGCTGGCCATTGATAATGATGTTAAAGTATAAGCAAATAATAAAAAGATAAAAAGAAAAAGGAGTGTGTGGTGATGGCGGGCGGTGGCGGGTTGCTTTTCTCTCCAGTTGGTGGTGGATTGGAGCTTAGGCCAGTGAATGTGATGGTGGCGTTTTTGCCTTCTTGATGGGGTTGTTTCTGTAATTTTTGAAGGAGTAATCATTGTGAGGAAATAGTGCGGCAAGCTGGCAGAGATAGCCAGATAGGTATGAGTTGAGACCGGGTATAGTTCTACCAAAAACCCTAAACTTTTTCTTACGAGAACTAAATATTTTTTCATCCCACCAGTACCCTAAACTTTGTAGTTATCAACCCAGAAATATCTTTGTTACACTTTCATCCTTATAGCTTTAGGAATCCGATGTGGTAGCATTTATGGACAATACAGACAGATGAATCTAACGTGACAAGCTACCCTGTCGGCTTTCAAACGGCCATTATGTGAATAGAAAGAAAGGTATTAAATCGTGTCGTTTTAATAGATAATAAGTCTTGAAAGAATGAAGCTAGACTAAGCCAATTTTGCGTGAATGGATTTTGGATATGCATTGCAACAATATGTTAAGAGACAGAAGGCACAAATCTACCAAAGATGGTGTTAAACGTGATTTTCTTTGTAGGCCATTCACATTGTAGGTAAGGTGTAGAGGTGGCATAATGGGTCTAGAACCCATATTTAATGTTGCGAGTAATAAATGAGTTGCCTTAAATTTTAAAAACAGGATTAAGTGGATTCAAGAAATAAATGCCAAACAATTTAATGGATCTTGAATGGGTTGAGAACTAACCCATTTCAAACCCATATGAAAAATTGAGAACTTTTTCACTAGTCTTCTAGTAGTAAATAAAGCGGCCAATGCCTCAAGTGGAGTTGGAGATGTTAGGACAATTTTATAATTTTTATTTTTTAAAAGCTTTATGAATTATTTATAATTTTTTTCTTTCTTTCTTTCCTTTTGTTTTTTCTATGAAGTCCGGCGAGGCTCGGAAACCCTCGCCAGCAGCAATTGAGGGCCGTGGCTAGCCCTCGCCTATGACTTGAGAGGTTGTCTAGCGACCCTCGCCGAATTTAGAAGAAAAAGAAAAGAAAGAAAAGAGAAGAAAAAATAAAAATAAATCATATATTTTTTAAAATTAAATAAAAATTTCCCACATCAGAGCTAGTCGTTCTATGCTGGCCATGACACGTAGAACGGTTGGTGTTCAAAATTGGCCTGAATGACTAAATGAGCAAATTGTCAAAAGGTTTAGGACAAAATTGACAAAATTGGAAGGTTTAAGACTGAATTGCCGCAAGAGCGATAGGTTTAGGAATTTTTCGGTAATTTCCCCATATTTTTTGTCACAACACGTTCATACTTTTCCAATTTTTAATGTGCATTTCAATCTTTAGGTTTTTTTTGTTTTTTATTTTATTTACTATTAGATTTTATTTAGTTTGTTTATGTTTTTGATTTGATTAAAATATCTATCCAAATAACATATTCTTATGAAGAGGTTAAAGTAAATTACATGTTGTGGTATGCATATGGATGTGTTTTAGTAATATGGATTGGGTCAATTTGGGTTTTAGTTGGGTTTGAGTCGGGTTGGGTTTGGGTCGCTAAAATTATATTACATAACAATTGGTCAATACGGATTAAATGGGTCAATTTGAGTCAGACCATTTTCGATCCGACACAAACCCAACCCGACCCACTCATTTGACGAGCTTAGTAAGGTGGGAGATATACTGAACAACCAAAAAGAGAATACGTTTTTCTTTATTTGATTGGGACATTTATTTTCCTGCCGAAAATTGATACCCCCTTTTCTGACAATAATGCATTATTTCTTTTCATAAGGCTAGCTGAGAGAGTGGATAACATTGAATTTTAATCAAACTTGAATTGAGTGGAAATAAAAATCTATTTTTTTAAACTTATAAAAAATTCAGTTTTTTTTTATTTGTCATATTCTAACTTTCAACTCACTCTCAGATTGTTGCCCTGCCTCCTTGGAGTTGAGGAATCAAAGAAATGCTAGAAATTTGGCCCGAACCAACCAAAGGGCCCTCTTGCCTGGTTTACAGTTGACTGATCATGTTATGAAAAAATAACCGTGATTGTAATTCGTGTCAATTCCTGTCAATGATGAAACAACACAGTTTCTGCTAGATAGCTAAACAATTGTATAACAACATAGAAAGTTATAATTTATTTTGATGCATTGACCATATCATATCGTGTCATATTTAAATCTTTATTTTATCTTTATGTTTTTTTTTATCTTAAATCTCGTAGACGAACCGTGTGTGACCCATTACCAATCCTAGTTGTGTTGAGTTGAGTAGTAGAAATTGGAAAACCCGACACACTTGCTTCTGGTGAGATCTTGATGATCATCCGGTCATGCAACATCGATCACCGCATAAAATCCTAATGCCATTATATTAAGGGTGCAAATTATCATTGAGGATAGTACTTGCACGTATCATATAATCATTAATTTTCTTTTTTGGCCTTTTTGAAGGAGTAGTCATTGTGAGGAAATAGTGTGGCATGCTAGTAGAGATAGCCATATAGGTATAAGTTATAACTACGATATTTGCCCGCGCACCTCGGTACATTATCTACAAAATATATTTAAAAGACAACTAACTATATGAATATATATTTACTACTTCACATTTAGAGAAACTAATGTATATAAAAATATGAATGATAATTTCTGCTTTTTTTATATAGATTGGAACTATGATGACATGATGTATGACAATATTATATTTTCTCTGCTTGTAAAACAATTTTATTTTCCAAATTTATGTCCATAAAATATATAATACTAATGCATTTGGCCATCTCTCAATCTCAAGTTTTTTTAGAGTATCACGTAGGAACTTTGTATGGTTTTTATAACTTTGAAGAAGCTCCTCAATTCAATTACATGGCATTATTAAAAGATTGTGGACTTAAATGGCATCGTTAAATTGTCTTTTGATCATGATGGTAATTCATAATTTAATCTATGTGACTATCTGCAACAGTGAAGGAATTAACCATAAACTTTTCAATAGTTTCTCCAATTAGTTTCGTCAAAATGTCATGATGTGTGTTTGGCCACCTTATCATTAGGACGTATGTTTCTATTAAAATATTTAACTATTAAACCATGCTTTCACCAAACAGCTCAAGTTTTTAAAACAGTTGTCGGTGGTTTCACAAAACTTTAACATGCTAAGAGTAAAAGGTTCTGAGTTCAATTCTTTTCATACCCCTATTTGCCTCCCTTATAACATATTTTTACATTTTAGGCTTAGGCCAAAGTTTAGCCTACAAGTATGGGAGAGTGTTAGAATATTTAAATATTAAGAGTGCGTGCGTTTTGTGAAAAATAAGTGATTTGAAAAATAATCGCTTGTATTGTTTATCAAAATAAATGAATGACAATTTTTTCATCGCTCATGAGAATAGTTAGGCATAAATTATTATAGATGATGAAACATTTTCCGTTGACTAATTTTTCTAAACGATATATGCAATATTTTTTGGAAAATATTTTCCAAATCACTCATTTTCCGCGAAACGAATGCACCCTAAACAACGCCTATATCCAATAGCTTAAAGTTTTAAAACAGTTGGTAGTGGTCACACAAAACTCGGGAGGAAAACATTAGAAGTGTCAAAAGTTGTGTACGTCACTCACTTTAGTGCCAAAAATTCGTTTTGGATAACTTAAGTGTCAATTTTTTCAAAAAACGATCACTTAAGTGTCAACTCCGATAATGGTTGCCGAAAATCTGACATGGCCATTTTTTATTAATTTCTTAGTCTGATGTGGCTTGACGGTGTGCCAAGTCAGCATGTAGCCCCTAAACGACGTCATTTTTCCCTTAAATATAATCCCTAAACCAATTTTTTATTTGTTTGGAACCCTAAATCGATTGGCCACGCTCTTGAATGTGCTCTATTCTCATGAAAATCAATTCGAAGGACTATTGGTGGCCGGTGAGGAGGCTTGACGCTAACCGGAGATGATGGATGAAGAATAGTGATGGAGAAGCCTCTGTAATCTATGAATGGATGGAGATTTTTACTTTGCTTCCTCTAGGTAATATGTTGCCTCTATTCCAATGCCCACAAAAAATCCGATTTTGCTTCGTTTTAGATGAGAGAGACAACTAGAGTGATAGAGATTCCTGTCAGCACCGACTCGGTGACCTCCTTTCCGCGTGTGCTCAACAAATTTTGCTTTGTTGTGCCTCCTTCATAGCACGCATCCATTTCCACCATGAGACCAACAAGAAGCAAGAGAGATCTCCAAGTTCCCCGAAGTTGCCAATTCCCCTGCGGCAGCCAAGTCCACGAAATCGCGAAAATTGGCCTCTAAGAACCCTAATCCAATGACTAATTGCTTCCCCAAGAACAGAAATCGAGATCGGAAGTTCGTCTTGGTGAAGAGGAACACAAGGAAAAGGGAAGCCAAATCTAGACAAGCGGCATTTGGAGACTGAGATGGGCGAGCCCAAATCTAGATGAGCAGCTTGCGAGCAATGCATGCTTGTCCATGAGCGTCGTTGGCGTCGTTCGGCTAGATCTAGTCAGCTCGTAAGTGCCGGCGACTCGACTAGTGGCAATGATGAGGTGGGGCAGAGGTTGAACTCGGAGGGAGGGGATGACCAGATTGGTTTTTCGAGCAAGATGGATCGTAGGCATGCAGGTGAGGGAGTAGGCCAATGCCATTGTTATAGAGAGCGAGCTTGGAGAGAGGGTTACAGAGGAGAGAGATGAAGTGAAAGAAAAAGGCCGATATTTTCTCTTCTTCTTTGTGGGACATCAACCAAAGAAATCCGCGTAGATTGGTTTTTTAATAAAAATTGCCAACTCATATTAATTTTTTTAATATAAATGCCACATTATATTTTTGGCTGGAAATTCTCACCGGAGGCATTTAAGTGATCATTATTTCTTCAATTTAGCACTTAAGTGAGCTGGCGAAAACTTTTGGCACTAAAGTGAGTGTCGGCATAACTTTTAGCACTTCTAGTATCCTTCTCCCCACAAAGCTCTCATAGTTTCCCATGCTTTGCAAAGTTAGCATCATGACATACACATGATTTTGCCACGTCATCATGATGCCATATGTTTTGCTATTCTATCATTCTGCAATATGCCTTATCTTGTCATCGTGATAACATCCATATGATTTTGTATTATCGAGATGATGCATGTCATCCTTATGACATTTTATCATCCT